GCTTTCTCTGGGGTTCTGTTTCAACCCGTGATGGAAACCTAGACTATTGAAGAAGTGACAGGTCTATTCTACGCCCTTCAGGCAACTTTCCGTGAATACTATTTCTCATTCCCAAGCTTTTCATAAAGCTCAAGGTTATGCTTCATCAAAAAGATGAACAAGAAATCACCTATATTACTCTTTCAAGGCAGATCCACATGCTTTAACAAGCACTGAGCAGAAGGTCAAGTAGACAGCACCTTCCAGAATGTAAGGCACGTTACCAAAACTTGAACCTGAACGGCTAACACAAGGAGGTGGGATGCCCAGAAGCCCACGGTAATTCTTTTTATTTTGTTTGTAATCTTCCATGCATACACTTGCTGAGCCTCTGTCCTCATTTGTACAACAGGGTTGCCGGTATTTCGAACACAGGGTTGTTGTGGAAATTATGTGAAGTGATGTATGGAAAGCTACTATACAAATTGTTCTATGCAAGTGAATATTTTCAATCTTCGTTATCAGTAAGAATGAAAGGTGTAGCGGATGCTGCGATGCGCTGCCCAAATCTCCACAGCAGGACTGAGGTGCTTGTTCCTCAGCTGCTGGGAGCATTGGCAGTTGATAGCTGCCAGCTGAGGCCCTTTCCGGAACTTTCTGGCTTGAAGAAAGCCACTTTGCCCAAAGTCAAGCACCACCTCTCCCAGCCTGCATCCAGTGACTGGTTGTTGGGCAGGCATGAAGGTAGAGCCCACTTCCCTTAATTTGGGTCGACCCTGAAGGGCCATCCCAGGCCCAGAGTCCCCATAGGATCAGAGGATCAGCCGAGGGATGCCACCGTTGTGACTGCGTCACAGTTCAGCTTCTCCCTCTGTCCAGTCTACTTCCCTTGCAACCTCACAGGTGTCGTTCCTGAGAGCACACAGAATCTGAGACCCAGGGAACTCAACCCATGACAAATAGGATTATTTGAGCTATGTGTCCTGGCTGATTACCACTTTTATCTTAAGCAGACTTTACAATAGGAATTACAAAAAAAAAAATTCATGTGTGAAGGAGAAAACATGAATTATATTTATAAAAGACTTAAGATGCTGAATATCAAGTGTGTAGTTAATAAATGGCATTCACATCCAGAATTTCCTTTCAGATTGTTACATTTACAGGAAGGAAGGCTGCTACATAGGACATATTAGGTGTGTCCTGGTGTGGTTGCCGAGCCGCTGGAACCCCAAGTCAATGCCCAAACGCGAATTCTACACCAACAGCCCAGAGGACGAGCAGGGAAATTGTGTTGGACAGGGGCAGTGACCTTCCATTCAGATGAGGTGACTTCTGTGAAAGGTCAGGGATAACAAACTAAATGCCTGCAGAGGGCCAGGTAGAAGCATGAATGAAGTAGAAGATGCATGTGCTAAATTGCTTGAACTGTGATCCAGGATGACTCCTGCTTAATTACATTTGCTTTTACTTTTATTATTACTATTATTAATTTTAGATATACAACTAATGCCTAAGTATGTTTTCCTTTAAAAAATACAGAAAAAATTAAAGTCCCTTTTGACCTATAATTTTCCTCTCATCAAGACTGTTACTAAATCCTGTCTATTCCATCTCCCAAACATCTCTTAAATACATCGACTTCTCTCCACTCCCTGTTGCTACCTTAATGCAAACAAGCTTAATCTACCAAATCTCTGGTCTTGCCCCCTCCAATCCATTTACCTGACTTAAGTCAGGTCTCTACCTACATCCCAGCCTCTTCTCCCAACCTTCTTCCCCTCCCATTCTCCATTCCAGTCAGCTTCAGCCTCTTTTAGTTACTTTGGCACCATGCTGTTTGCCTCTGGGCCTTTGCATATGCTGTTCCCTCTACTAGAAACAGGCTCAGTCAATTTCAGTGGATCTTCCTCTTGCCAATGCCTGCTCATCTTTCAGGTCTCAGTTTAGATAACACTTCCTTGGAAATGTCTTTGTGCCCCTCCCCTGTGCTTCCAAAGCACCATCTCCTTCCCTTATTGTGACACCTCTGACACCTTATTTTAATGGATTATTTCATTTTCTGTTTCCTCCGCCAATAGACCAGAGATCTATGAAAACAGGGACAGTGTCTGGTTTGCTCACTGTTGCATCCAGTGCTTGGAATCATGCCTGGCACATGGGGAGCTCTCTTCAAATAGATGCTGGATAAATGTTGGGAGAGAGGGAGGAAGGGAGTAAGAACAAATCCAGGTAATTTCTGAACGTTATTTGACTATATCACCTCAGCCTCAGACAGAAGGGAAGGAGGAGATTTCTTCATTCTCAAATAGCTATAGTAGTTGTTTTTTAATTTACTTTTGTGACCCCTTACTTGTATGCAAACCATACCTGCTTCACAGAAATTATTTTGCATTTTATTTTATTAGAGATCTGTCAACTCACAGTATTGCAAGAGCTGAATCCTTTAAAATCAACAGCTTTCGCTTATTCCTCTGTCTCTTCCATACTGACTGATACAATACTTTGTGCAGATTCTTTCAATTATTAACATTTATTGAGCATTTATCTAGTGTTTGGGGGGGTACCAAGATGATTAAGTTATAATCCTTTAATCTGAAAGTTTTCAGTGTCTAACAGAGGAGAAAACGAACTGAAGCATGTCATACTACATACTAAGTGCCCTGGGAGAAGTCTATGCAGGCTTCGGTGGGGGCAGCTAACTTGACTCTGTGGCAAGGCAACAGAGAGAGGTGGCACGGAGGCTGAGTCTCGAAGGATGAGCTGGAGTTTTCCAGGTGACCAGTGGGTGAGAGCACATTCCGAGCAGAGTACGGGCACATCCCATTCATATAGATCAGTGTGGTTAGAGGAAAGGGACAAAAGGTAGATAGTAGGCTATTGAAGGAATTTAAACAGGGCAGTAACGGGAAGTCAGGCAGTAGTGTGGCTGATAAACTGGAAGCAGGGAGAGGTTAGAGGCAAGGAGGAGGTCAGGAGGCTATTGTGATGTTCTGCAGGAAATATAGTGAGGACCTGAACCAAGGCAGTGGCAGGGGCTAGGACGTTACCGCTCCAGCTTTTATAACAGTAATATTTTTTATAATCTTCCTGAAATGCTGAAGAACGAGAGAGAAACCAGGCAAAATAAAAGAGTAGAGGAGGGCAAAAAAAGACGGAAGCTCATCTAATAGAGATTGAAAAAAGAACTGAGGCAAGTAGTACATTAAAGAATGAGAGCCAATAGAAACTCCAGGAGAAAACAGTTCAAGAAAGGAAATATGGTTAGAGTATTTTATTTGGCTCTGCCGTGAATGATAGATACTTAGTCACCATCTTGTCGATCTTGATGATTGGTTTTCATCTTCTAGAGCCAACCCATAGGCAACGCTGGGAAGACAGAATTATGTCTCAGAATAGATGTAAATACCATTAACCCAGATAAAGTAAAGTAAAGATCATAACTGTTGGGAGTAGACGGGGTAAAATGGAGGTGGGGATCAAAATTGATAGGTCAGAGATAGCAGGAAAAGCACATTCTTTGGTGATGGAGAGGTGATTGCCAGAAGAAACAGCTAAAAAAAACTGAAAGTGATTGCATCTGAGCAAAAGGTTTCGTTGTGAGGACAGGTGGGGTAAGGACCTACTGATTTTCATTATAAACCCTTTTGTACTATTTGATTTATTTTACCAAGTGCATGAGTCCTTTGGTTAACATGCTTTAAAACTTTTTAAATGCGTCTATCCAGATGATATTTCTTGTCTTGATGGAGACATCATACACAACATCTGAAAAACAAAGCATATCAGATGAATCAGGTATAGGCTCCCCAAGGTAATTCCCAGGGGTACTGAGTCACCTTCCCATTAAGAATAAGTCTATTCACTTCAGTTATCACAATTCAAGACAAGTGAGTTTAAAGGCCATCTCATCTTATGGTTTAAGGGCACAGAAATCCAGTGGCAAACATGAAATGTGGTTTACATATTAACTCAGTGCCTTTAAAATTTTTTGACCTTGAACTGCAGTGAAAAATACATTTGTGGGGGGCCAGCCCCTTTGCATAGTGGTCAAGTTCAGCGCACTCTGCTTCGGAAGCTTGGGTTCACAGGTTTGGATCCCGGGCACGGACCTACACCACTCGTCAGCATGCTATGGCAATGACCCACCTATAAAATAGAGGAAGATTGGCAAGAGATGTTAGCTCAGGGCGAATCTTCCTCAGGCAAGAAAAAACAATACATTTGTGTGTGACCCAGTGCTCAGACACCACATAACTGAAACAAAACTTTTTTAAAAACAATACTTACCTGTTACTATGTGTGATATGCTCTGAAATGTTCTATTTCATTCTCTCTTAATTTTTTTAAATACTGGTCACTTTAAACTTTAACAATCCACTACTGTATTGTGACCCACAGTCTGAAAAACATGCTAATCAGTCCTTTTTGCCTCAGACCAGAGAATGTGCTTATGAAATTTGGAGGTTATTTCTCAGATCGCTGAACCTTCCTAGTGGAACTACTTGTTACTGATGTGTGGGAAAAAAAATGAAAATATGGTATATAAAGTTGGCTTCTATCATCTTTGTTATTTAGCGCAGCTCTCTTATTTTCATTTCTCTTCTCCTTCCTTAAATTTTCTTTTTTCTTTTTATCGCTGGTCTTGTGGGGCACATATTAGGAATAACTAAATTCATTTCTGGAGAATTTTGAGATGTATGCCAAACATGTGTATAATTTATGCACTATATCCTTTGGTTTTTACCCATACGTCCATTTGTTTGTACAGATTTTAACCAACCATCTGCTGCTTATGAAACCATCAAAACCCAGCCTTCCCTCAACTATTGGAATCGTGTGATATTTTCAGATGTGGCAAATTCTATGTTTAAAAATGCATAACTATAAGCATGACTTGTCATGTCTAGACATTTTAGCAAAAATTATACTGAAAACAAATACCATAAAGTTTATTGCACTGATAAAATGTTAATGGACTAATTAAATTTGTTTGGATTTTTTTTTCTTGTTAAATTAAGAATTACAAGAAGCTATTGAAGAGGTGCTGCCAAGCCTGAAAAAAGATGATGTGTCTGTTTATTATGTGAGCAGAACTTCTAACACAGATGGGATCGACTCTTTGCTGGACAAGGTGGATGAAGTGTCGACGGAACCCATTCCAGAATCGTGGAGGTCGGAAGTCACTTTCTCCACTCCTGCCTTGTACATTTATACTTCTGGAACCACAGGTAAAAATAAAGAGAGGATTCTCAAAGAAATGCACCTATCCTGAAGGAGTTAAATTTGGGCTAGGTTTTCAAATGTTCTCTTTCTTTGGCGAAATTTATCAGATAACTAATACGTGAGAGGATTTAGCTCTTTGCCCGTGGGAACTGATCTTATTTCATAGCATATGATCCCATTTGAGTTTCTCCAAGCAGATTTCCCCCTAGTTGGTATGTAGAACAGAAAAAGAGGTTAACCAAGAACTACAAAAATAGGTATGACAATGGATGAAATTTGGCACTGAATAAGTTGTTAGAATTTTTTTAATAATTGTTTATTTTTTAATGATTGTATTTTGATTATATTATATTCATAGTCCATATATAATATGTAACCAATTATAAATGGAATACCAGAGAATACTATAGGACAATAATGGGTTATATTTATATAATATTTTCACCACTATCATCCACCTATTCATCACTGACTTGGAGCTCTTTGGTGCTGCAGGTGTAGGATGGCTCTAGCTCAGGGCCTAAAATACTATATTTCATCAAATTTAGGATGGCTTCAACTGTAAGCTGCACTATTATTTTATGAGCCACCAAGAAAAAACACTGCCAATTAACAGTGTTATTGGAACACTGCTATATGGAACAGGCACTATTAAGGGTAGGATGTACTAGGCCCTCTCTTAGGAGCTTTATAGCATATGTTCCTACAACTCTCCCACCACCCTTAAGATAGGTACTACTCTTATTCCCATTTTACAGATTCAGAAACTGGCACTTAGAGATTTCAAGAACTTCCCAAGATAAGAAGTAGAAGTGTCAGGATTCACCTTGGTAGGCTGACTCCACAGCTCATACAACTGACCACTCTGCCACAATACCTCCTAGTTCATCCATTTAACAGATATTTAGTGTCTGCCTACTCTAGGCCAGGCAGAATGTTACCAAAATGTAATAATATGAAACCTGAGGGATATATTTAAAAGGAGGACATGGGCCAGCCCCTGTGGCCTAGTGGGTAAGTTTGGCACTCTCCACTTCAGCAGCCCAGGTTCAGTTCCTGAGCACAGACCTACACCATTCATCAGCAGCCATGATGTGGTGGCAGCTCACATATAAAAAGAAGAAGATTGGCAACAGATGTTAGCTCAGGGCGAATCTTCTTCAGCAAAAAAAAAGAAAGGAAGAAAAAAGAAACAAAAGGAGGACAGGAAGCCAGCCCCAGAATGCTGATTATTAACATTAGAAAATTGAATATGTGAAAGTTTCATCACTTTTGGTTAAAATTTTAATTCAATTTAAGCAGGTAATATATGCATGCATTTTCCTTGTAAAATAATCAAACATTATAGATAAGGCTAAAGGTATCTTCAAGCCTTTTATCTGAACACCACCCTACGGGTACTCTCTCCTTCACCTCCACCGGCTCTCAGCACCCATCTCATCTCCCAGTTCCCAGACCTGAGTTTAACCTGAGTGTCGACATCCTTTTGTACAGTCACTTTAGCTAAATATTTTCTTTACGTAAATGAGGAGAGAAGGATGGGAATGACACATTAAAACTGGTGTCCGGGGCTGGCCCAGTGGCGCAGCAGTTAAGTGCGCACTTCTGCTTCTCGGCAGCCTGGGGTTCGCCGGTTCAGATCCCGGGTGCGGACATGGCAGCGCTTGGCACGCCATGCTGTGGTAGGCGTCCCACATATAAAGTAGAGGAAGATGGGCACAGATGTTAGCTCAGGGCCAGGCTTCCTCAGCAAAAAGAGGAGGACTGGCAGTAGTTAGCTCAGGGCTGATCTTCCTCAAAAAAAAATAAAATAAAATAAAAAATAAAACTGGTGTCCAAAGCATAATGTCTATCATTTTTTTATTTGTCAAAAGTTTTATATTGGGGCTGGCCGGGTGGTGTAGTGGTTAAGTTTGCACGTTCCACTTGGGCGGCCCAGGGTTCACAGGTTCAGCACCTAGGCGTGGACCAAGCACTGCTCGTCATGCCACACTGTGGCAGCATCCCACATAAAACAAAGGAAGATTGGCACAGATGTTATCTCAACAACAATCTTTCTCAAGCAAAAAGAGGAAGATTGGCAACAGATTTTAGCTCAGGGCCAATCCTCCTCACACACACACAAAAAAATTATATATTGCCATGCCAACATGATGGTGGGATGACAGTTAACCAAATGCTTCCACTACATACATACACACTATGTTAATATAAGGGACTTTTATCCTCTTTCTTAATAGAATGGTAAAATTAAACTGCAAACTTTGATTTGGGAAACAATTGACATAAAACGAGGCCTTAGTTAGTGACAGGGAGTTCTATCTAGTCTTAATACTGAACAGACAAGTATGAAATTTCTACACAATGCAGGTCTTGGTGGTCAAACACCCACCTTAGGTAGAAAAAGAGAATGAACACTCTTTAATTTAATCCCATAATTCAGAATTTATATTTAATTGGAAGATAATTGGGTTGATGTTTATTTCACTTTTCTCATCTCTGAATAAAATATTTGCTAAATTACTCCTGTAAATGTTAAAAGAACTCATTTAAGCCACTAGAGAACAAATGTTTTCTCTGTTCCTCAAAGACAGTCATTAGCACAAAATTATTTAATAGTTACCAAATATTCTTATTTCTTCATTAATACAAAATCTTAAATTAAGGAATTTCTGAAAGTTCTTCAAAGCGGCAAACGATGTGCATTTCTTTTTTAAAAATATGATTCAGAGCTTTTACTATTCAGATGATTTTTTTCCATGGTGAATACAGTTGATTTATTGATGCTTTCTTTTATTTCTTAATGTTAGTATAGAATCGGGCGTGAATACTAACACAATGCCGCTGGCCCACTGTCAAAGAAGCTGCATTTTGAATTGTGTTTGTAAGTTCATAGATTGCTGGCCACATTGCTTTGCCTTATAACAAACTGCTGTAATTTAGGCAATCCCTGGCTGAGGTACCATCGAGTGTTGAATGCTCTGAGTCTACAGGGAACCGCCTTCCTCTTCACAAAGCCAGTGTAGCCACTCAGGTTGTAAACTCGAGCCCCAGCCCCTTAGTAATGACGTCATCCCTTCCCCAACTAAACGGACTTTCCATGGGAAGCAATATAAGCATAGCCTTTCAACAGAATCTTACCAAAAAATTACGTAAATTGTAGTTCAGAAAATGCAAGTGTATTACTCTGGTGTACTAAAACGACACCAAGATGCCACTTTTCACCTTTCAGATTGGCAAAAATCCCCACATTTGAGAGCACACTATGGCAGGCTGTGAGGAAGCAGGTACACTCACGTATTGCTGACGGGAAGGTGAATGGGGACAGCCCTTATAACTGGCAATGGGGCAGTATCTATCGAAATTACAAAGACTTATACCTTTTGACCCTGTAATCTCATGTCAGCAGGTTTATCCTAAAGATATAGCATCATTCATAATGTGAGCTACCAGGTGCTCCAGGCTATTCACCGCAACATCATTTGAAATAGCAAAGCACTATAAATAAATTATAATACACACATACAAATGACTTGATGCAACTGAAAGAGAGAGAATAAATGAATGAATAAATAAGGGAAATTTCTATGTACAAATACAGAGAGAGCTTCAAGATACATTGTTAAGTGGAAGGGAAAAAAGCGCAGAAGAGTGTGCATATTTTTTTTAATGGAGGAAAGGGCAAGAACATATGAGCAAATGTTCATATTTGCTTTTATTTATATAAAGAAAGCCCAGAAAAGTACATAAGAAATTCATAAAAGTGGTATGAAAGAAGGTGATGAGATGAATAGGCTATTTAATCTCTCTGAATCTCAGCCTTCTCATCTGTAGATTCGAGAGTATAATTCTACTTATTCATTAAGAAATTAAATGAAATTTTGAAAATGCCTTGCAAGGTGATAGGCACAGAGCAGAAATTCAATAGGTGTTCATTCCTTTCTCTTCAAATTACTACTGTAATAATCGTCTAACTCAGGGGTCAGCAAACTATGGCCTATGGGCCAAATACAGCCCCCACAACCCCCCATCTGTTTTTGTAAAGTTTTATCAGAACGCAGCCACATTCTTCCTTTCTGTGTTTGGCTGCTTTCGGCTGAAAGAGCAGAGTTGAGTAATTGCAGCAGAAACTCTATGACCCTGCAAAACCTAAAACATAAACTATCTGGTCCTTTACAGAGAAAATTTGCCGACTCCTGGTCTAACTGATCCTGGCCATGCCCTGTGCATTTCTGTAATCACGAGATGATGACTCTTCCTAAGCGAGGTCCCTCTCCCAGACCACGTGTCTGTGAATGACCCATCTTGGCTCACTCATGCCTTCTCTTGTGTCTTGCAAAGGTCTCCCAAAAGCTGCAATGATCAATCATCGTCGCTTATGGCATGCAACCGGCCTGGCTGTTTCAAGCGGGATTAAGAAAGATGACGTCATCTATACCACTTTACCCTTGTACCACAGTGCTGGGCTGATGATCGGCGCAAATGGATGTATGGTGATTGGTAAGCTTTTCTCCTCAACAAGACATCGGAGCTCAGTGCACATTCACAGCTGCTCACAAGGAAAAGTAATACAAGATTTGGCTACTCTCCTGTGTGCTAGGAACACTGTTTAATTCTATGTTAATAACAAGACTATTTGGCTCACGCATCGCAAGCAGTTATGTAAAATAATTTATAGTTTCTCACGCCTACTTGTCTAGTAATGTAATGCTGTAATTGTTTAGTTTATCAAGGAGGAAACTTCTTTAAAATATTTTAGGTCTTTATCCAGGTTAAGACATTTAATTCTTATATTCCATAAATAATTCTCTTACATCATTTCCATCTTCAGAAATCTACACATTTATCTCCATCAGCATCGGATTTAAGTTGTCCCTTCAGTTGTCCCTGTTCTACTTCATTCTTCCCTATTCCCATCGCTCCTCAGCTCTGGCCAGAATACCTGGTTTGTCATCGCTCTCTTTCCTTCTCAACCTTTACTGCTCAAATTAGAGTTGCCGTCTTCTCTCCTTTCAGGAGGGTTTATGCCACTTTTATACATTAAAGCTCAGTCCAATATCCACCTCTTCCAGGGAGCCATCTCTAACTCTATAAGCTAAGAAAGTTAATTTTTTCTCCCATGTGGCATTTCATTTTAAATAATCGTATATCTATATATACATATACATATGCATATGTTTATACATATATGATTACCCAAGCCTCTGCTTCTTTCCCTCATCAACTTATCGATCAGCTATAAAATACTTGGCCCAGCATCAGTACCAGCCTCCAAATCAGCAAGCAAGGACTGGGCTTCATCATATCGCTGGGCCCTTCAAGAACAGGGTGACCGTGAGTCTCCCAAAGGGACAATTCAACCACTCACATGTTTGCTTAAGCACCATAAATACATGCTAAAGAAGAAAAAATAGTGTTTTAAAAAATTTCTTCTAAAACATTGGACTTTTGTATATTTAGGAGTAAAAATTAATAACATGAAAAAATATTTGTAAGATTTTTATTTCACTTAACTACATTTCATGCCTGTAATTAAATTGACTATGACAGACATATTATTTTTACCCATTGTATTAGTTTCATATTGCTACTGTAACAAATTTCCACACATTTAGTGGCTTAAAACAACACAGATTTATTCTCTTACTGTTTTGATGGTCAGAAGTCCTAAAGTCAAGGTGGCAATAGGGCTGCATCCTTCTGGAAGCTCTGGCTAGAAGAATCTGTTTCCTTGCCTTTTCTAGCTTTTAGCAGCTACCTGCATTCCTTGGCTCTTGGCCCCTTCTTCCATCTCCAAAGCACATCACTCAAACCTTTTGTTTCCGTCATCCTATCTTCTTCTGCCTTTGACCTTCTCACCTTCCTCTTACAAGGACCCTCGTGATTACATTGGGCCCACCCAGATAATCCAAGATAATCCTCCCATGTCAAGATCCTTAACTTAGTCATATCTACACAGTTCCCTTTGCCGTGTTAGTAGCATATTCACAGGTTCTAGATATCAGGATGGGGACATCTTTGGGAACCATTATTTTGTCCACCTCCCCCATCAAAGAAGAATATCTCCCACTTGCTCAAGACTCTGGCTCTGCATTACCTATGAAATTAAGTCTGGCTCCTCGACCTGGCACTTCCAAGCTCTCCAGGATTGCACCCCTAGCTTCTTCTCCACACTCATCTCCCATGACCCACCCACCCTTCTCCACCCCAGTCACAAGCCAACTGAGTCTTGGCCATCCCCCAAACCTTTTAGACTGTCCTGTCTTTATGTTCATGTCTTTTCCTCTGCCTGCAATTCTTTCATCTTCCTCCGTATTTACTTCTTAAGACCTAATTCAAATCTTACCTTTTCCAAACTATGCCTTTCTCAGCCCTTGCCCCTGAGCAGAATTAATCTACACACACACATACACAAACACGCACACACACTCGCTCATGTTCATATTCCTTTTTGAACGGCCTCTTTTGAACCATTTATTGCACAATGACTTTTATTAGAAAGACTTTTGTGTCTTCTCTCCCACTAGGTTGGAAGTTCCTACAAGACAAAACCAAGTCTTATTTGTTTTTTTGCATTGAATATGATTGGTACTCAATACTTGTTTGTGAATATGATATTTAAATTTCTACCTTTCAAAAATGACAAATATAATTGGGGAGATATTTTTTGTAGCACTTCTTTATCAACACTTTCTATGCCTTCTCTGTAGGTGCTACTATTGTCTTGCGGATCAAATTTTCTGCCAGCCAGTTTTGGGATGACTGCAGAAAGTATAACGTCACTGTCATTCAGTACATCGGGGAACTGATTCGGTATTTATGCAACTCACCCCAGGTAACACTTCCCATGTCTCATTATCTTTTTGAAATGGATAAGATGGGAATTCAAGGCACTTTGGCTCAAGCTAGGCTTCAGCTGATTTGTATACATCAGTTTTCATTTTAGACTGCAGTTGCTTCTCTTGGCACCGCACCTGTCACGTGGAGGGGATTTGCTCGATGGCAATTGCTATTACTATTATTATTCCCCACCTTTTTACCTGTTTTCACATCTTACCCTGTACCTAGCATATCGTCTGCTTCCCTCTCTGCCTATTTAAAGCCTGCTCGTTGTCACAGCCCAGCTCAAATGATACCTCGTATGTTAAACCTGTTTGGGTCACTCTAACAAAAGTCATTACTCCCTTCCCCTACAGCATTTGACTTCTATCCCCTCGTGGCCCTTGTCACATTTCAGGTGTTTGTTTTCATGCCTCCTACCCTCCCTAGGCTGTGAAATCTTTGGTGGCAGGGACCACATCTTGTCTCCTGCCTCTCTCTTCTACCAAAGGCCAGCAGGAAACTTCTACTTAATGTTCTGTAATGAATAAATCCCCATGTGGCTTTGGGGGACAGACCATCCAACTAAGTCTGTCACCAAACTTGGAACACATATTCCCCAAAGTAACTCCAAGGGCCTTGGATCTACCCTGTTTGCAGAAATCCAGATTTTTTCTTCTGTTTTTTTTTTCTGAGGAAGATTTGCCCTGAGCTAACATCTGTTGCCAATCTTCCTCTTTCTTCGTATGTGAGCTGCCACCACAGCATAGCCACTGACAAGTGCTGTAGGTCTGTGCCTGGGAACCGAACCTGGGCAGCTGAAGCGGAGTGTGCTGAACTTAACCACTAGGCAACTGGGCCTGGCCCAGATATCTTGCTGAGGTTGTTCTGTAGAGCTCCTCCTGTCCAGTCCCTCAGCTCTCATCAGAAATCTGGCAGCCTGCCTGGAGACCTGCTCCAGGTTTCTCAACAGTGGCACTGCTGACGTTTTGGGCCCATTCCTTCTTTGCTGTGTTGACTTATTCTGTGCACTGTAGGATTTAGTAGCGTCTCTGGCCTTTACACAGGACATACCAAAAGTACCCCTCCCTCCCCTGAGGTCATGATAATTAAAATGTATTCAGACGTTGCCAGATGTCCCCTGGCAGGCAAAATCAACCCCAGCTGAGAACCACTAGACTCGACAATGCAGTAAACTCACCAGATTCTGCTCCGTTTAATCCTTTCAATTATCATAAGAAAACAACCTCGAAGGACCACTAAGTGGATAAATTACTATTTCTAAGCCCCTGTTATGTTTAACTTATATAACAGCTGTGTGCTGTGTGACATAGACAGAAGTATAAGGTGCTCTTGCCCCAGTTCTTTCTGTCCTCACTTCATTCAGTCTCTGCCCACATGTCACCTCATCAGAGAGGCCCCTCTTACTAATTATCAGACAGATCACCCTGCCCCTCACGGGGTGTCCATCTCGTGGGTTACTGCTTTTCTCGGCACTATCACTCCTGATATGTACAGCTTTAAATGACTATTGTCTGTCTCCCCCAATTAAATGAAAGCTCCACGCACCAGGAGTTTTGTTTGCTGCCAGATCCTAGCACTGAGATCTATACCTGGTGCGTCCTAGACATCAACAAATTTTGCTGAATGAACGTCAAAATTTTTGCTGCTGGGGGCCAGCCCTGTGGCATAGTGGTTAAGTTTGGGGCACTCCACTTTGCAGGCCAAGTTCGTGGGTTCAGATCCCAGGCGTGGACCTACACCACTCCTCAGCCATGCTGTGGTAATGACCCACATATAGAGGAAGATTGGCACAGATGTTAGCTCAGGGCTAATCTTCCTCAAGCAAAAAAAGAGGAAAGTTGGCAACAGATGTTAACTCAGGGCCAATTTTCCACAGCAAAAAAAAAAAAAAAAATCTTGCTGCTGAAAAATGTATAATTAACTTGAGTGAGGTAATATGTTCCCCCAAAATGTTCAGGCTCAGCACATACTATTCTGATTTGGGGGGCAGACTCAATAGATTCATGAGGGTCATAATTAGCTGTAGGCTGGGGTAGGACCTTTCCCACAGCCATTTCTGTCGATGTCATTATTGAATTTTTTTCACATTAGTATTCCGTCTGGTCCTCAAGATTGCATGCCTCTATATTAAAACCCAGAAATCCATATGGGGCCCTTCTGTTTGGCTTTTCTTCTCTGCCTTAAAGGCAACCCCTTGTCAGTCAGAATCCTCCTCAGGGAGGGTGTGTTATTTCTATTAGTTCTAATGAGAGCCACCTTTGGACTTGAAGAAAATAAACATGTTTGTGTGTAGCTCTTTCAGGCTGACACACGCTCACACATACACAACTTCCCACTTTTTCCTTTTGCTTAATATTGTCTCAGATTCTGGAAAACAGAGAATTTGATTAGGATTTTATTTGTTCAAAACATTATGCTTTGGTGTATAATTCATGCATGACTTCTGCTCTGGAGGATTTGGAGTTTCCATTTTTCCCTTACTTCCCCCGACCCCTGGGTTCTGGTTTGTCTGGGAAATACTTAAGAGAATTGTAAGAAATGACCAAAGTAACATCAAAAAAACTTTCAATTAAAGATGTTTTTAAATGATAAGATCTTATATATAGAAAACTCTAAAGATAAAAACTGTTAGAACTAATAAATGAATTCAGCAGAATAGTGGGATACAAAATCAGTTGCATTTTTATAGGCTAACAATGAACAATCTAAAAAGCAAATCATAAAAACAATTCCATCTTCAATAGCATCAAAAGGAATAAAATACTTAGGAATTAACTTATCCAAGTAGGTGAAAGACTTGTACAATGAAAACTACAAAACATTGCTGAAATAAATTATAAAGAAGACATAAATAAATAGAAACACATCCCATGTTCATGGATTGGAAAACTTAATATTATTAAAATGTTAATACTGCCCAAAGCAATCTGTGGATTCAATGCAATCTGTATCAAAATCCCAATGAATTTTTTTGCAGAAATACAAAAACCCATCCTAATATTCCTTTGGAATTTCAATGGACCCCAAATAGCAAAAACAATCTTGAAAAAGAAGAACAAAACTGGAGGACTCCACTTCCTGATTTCAAAACTTACTGCAAAGCTACAGTAATCAAAACAATGTAGTACTAACATAAAGACAGACATATAGCACAAGGGAGCAGAATGGAGAACACAGAAATAAACCCTTATGTACATGGTCAAATGATTTTTGACAAGGGTTCCCAGACCATTCAGTGGGAGAGGACAGTCTTTTGGTGCAGGGAAAACTGGATATCTACATGCAAAAGAATGAAGTTGGACCCTTACCTAACACCATATACAAAAATTAATTCAAAATGGATCAAAGACCTAAATTTAAGACCTAGAGCAAAAACCTATTATAAGAAAACATAGGACAAAAGCTTCACAACATTGGATTTGTCAATTATTTCTTGAATATGACACCAAAGGCACAGACAACAAAGGAAAAAGTTGGACTTCGTGAAAATTAAAAAATTCTCTATCGATGCTGGATGCTATCAACAGAGTAAAAAAGCAACCCTCAGAATGGGAGAAAATATTTGCAAATCATATATCTGATAAGGGATTAATATCCAGAATATATAGAGAACACCTAAAACTCAACAGCAAAAAAAAATAAACAATCTGATTCAAAAATAGGTAAAGGACTTGAGTAGACATTTCTCCAAAGAAGATATACAAATGTCCAATAAGAAAATGAAAAGATGCTCAATATCTCTAATCATTAGGGAAATGCAGATCAAAACCAAAATGAGATACCACTTCACACCCATTAGGATGGCTACTATCAAAAAGACAGAAAACAATAAGTACTGGCAAGGATGTAGAGAAATTGGAACACTTGTGCACTGTTGGTGGGGATGTAAAATGATACAGCTGCTGTGGAAAACAGTATGGCAATTCCTAAAAAAAACTAAAAATAAAATTACCCTATGATCCGGCAATTCCACTTCTGAGTTCATACCTTAAAGAATTGGAAGTAAGGTCTTGAAGAGATATTTGTACATCCATGTTCATAGCAGTGTTACTCACAATAGCTAAAATGTGGAAGCAACCTAAGTGTCCAGCAATGGATGAATGGATCGGCAAACTGTGGTATATATGTACGATGGAATATTATACAGCCTTAAAAAAGAAGGAAATTCTGCAGTATGCTACCACATGGATGAACCTTGAGGACATTATTTAAAGTGAAATAGCCAGTCACAAAAAGACAAATACTGTATGATTCCACTTATATGAGATACTTAGAGTAGTCAAATTCATAGAGACAGAAAGTAGGATGGTGGTTGCTAGGGGCTAGGGAAGCAAGGGAATGGGGAGTTATTGTTTATTGGGTATAGACTTTCAGTTTTACAAGATGAAAATAATTATGGAGATGGATGATGGTGACAGTTGCAAACCATTATGAATGTATTTAATTCCACTGAACTGTATGCTTAAAAGTGCATATGATACTAAATTTTATGTTATGTGTATTTTTCCACAACTTAAAAAAAAATAGGTCACAATAGAAAGGACAGATTCTATGGATTTAAAGGGAGCTTAAAGAAATATTATCTCAAAAGGACTTCTCAAACAAAAGTGAATAAAAACTAGCACTCATGGTGGAAGGCTCTGGATCAATGTAATCAGGAACTTTCTCACCCTTAGAGCTGCCTAGAATAGGCTGGCCCTGGAGGGGCTAACACCACCAACCCCCAAGCGGTGGTTATCAGGGTGGCAACTCCTGCCTTAACTGAGCAGATCAATCAAATGATACCCGTCCACAGACGTGGCACAGTTCATCAGGAGAATCTGGGGCAATGCTGGGGAGGTAGATGCCACTATGCTTCTCCTCCACCTTCTTAATCATACTCAGTAGCTCCTTTGGTGAAGCAGTGGACTAGGGAGGAATGCTCCCAGCCACCCTTGGGGCAGGAGTTCAGATTTGGCTCAAGGGACTTAATATGGTGCTTAAGAGCAAGGA